AGCCTGTGCCATTAGAAAAAATTCAACGCACGAAAAGAGCTCATTTCTCTCAAAAATTTGTCGTAGTTTAAGTGCTACGCGAGTACTGCGCGTGTCATCGAGACGATATTGCAAAGAACGTCGATTTTTAGCCGGTGGCTAGATACCCTTGATACCTGCTATGAGAAACGGACATATTTTCCTGTCTCAATTGATCCAGGTAACTTTCTCATAGCTGATGTAATTCTTGGGATTTTGTCCCGAAGAACTGGGCTTTCCAAAGGAAGATGGGTTTTCTGCCCATATCCCTGTACTTAGCGGCCACTTCCCATTCATCAGATATCAAACATGCAGCATCCCTTTTTTTATGCTTTGTTTCCCACAAGCTAATACCAACAAGCTCATTAAGAAAAACGTGTGGACAATAGCAGCATAGGAAAATCGATAAACCGACGCATTCCGGCCACTAGTCGATACTGGGTCAGTGCAGGAGTTTCGCTTTTGCACCCGTTGGTAAGTTGGTGACTCTCAGATGACGACTGCTGACACGTGAATAAACAGTATCTGAAAGATCAGGCGATTGCTAGGAAGCATGTTTAAACTGTTTTTAAAGTAGCTGATGGGTCTCACCAAAGAGACACGGTTATGGATTCGAAATTTCCAGACGACGAAGTTTTTTTGTACTTTCCTTCCGCCGGACAGACCGTGACGTAACGCTCAAAATTACAGATTTTTACTATTACTGAAACTTTATGCCAGTTTTTGTTTTGCGCGGCGAATTGCATTGCAGAAGAAGCCGATCAGTTGTCGCCAACAACTAGCTCGGTAGGAAAATTGCCACCAGTGACCCACGGTGTGTCCACGACCAAATGAGATGCAGTGGTCATTGGCTAAGGTCACGGCTCAGGTCGACTGCATACCGTTGGTCATGCATAAAATATGATTGACTGATTCACAGCACCGTTTTAGGAGCGGATGGGCAAATTAAATGAGGAAGCAAAGCACCATTCTCACCGCAGACATGAATTCGATAATAAGACAAAATAACGAATGACTTTCAGATGTGACAAAGCAGTCACGGTTTTCTCATCCTGTTGTTCCGAAACGCAATTAATCTCAGTTAACTTTGCAGACATACACTTGACTGCCATAGCTTCTAAAAACTAGACTGATAAATTTGGATCGAATATCGCCATTTTAGATAGATTTGGCGATCGTACATTCCAGATGCAAAAATACCATGAAACTGTGACCTGCTTAAACAATCCCCTATAATAGCATAAATAGGGGAAGGAGTGACTACGCCGTATGGACTCAGAGAAGTGACAGGAAATTACCGTCAGTTATACATGCTTTTGCTGTGACGGCGAAGCAGTTGTATAAGTGAGACGCTTGAAATCAGTTCTATGTTCGATCCAGAATGGC